GTGTGTGTGTGTGTGTGTGTGTGTGTGTGTGTGTGTGTGTGTGTCTTACAGGTCTGTTTGAGTGTGGCACGGTCGTGCTGATCAGAGGTCAGTTCAGTTTCTTCTGCTGGGTCAGTGTTGATCGGATTCTGACCCAAACACACACTCACACACACCACCAACAGCGTCCACTTCAACATACTGCAAACAGAGAGAACCGTTACAACAAACAAATGTGTAAGAATTAGTGCTGTCAAACGATTAATCGCATCCAAAATAAATGTTTTTGTTTACATATGTGTACTGTGTATATTATATATATATATATATATATATATATATACACACATACACACACAGAGTATATATTTTTTAAAATATGTACATGTATATACATTTATATTCTTATATTTTATTTTCTACATAAATATATTTAATATATAAACACAACATATTTTTCTTAAATATATACATAATAAATATACACAGTACACACTCATATCAAAAACTTTTATTTTGGATGCGATTAATCGTTTGACAGCACTAGTAAGAATAACTGATCATGAGTTTCTGATCCAGCAGACTCTCAGTGTCCTCTAGTGGCTGTGAGCTGAACTGCACTCCTCTTTTCATCCTCCTCCTCTGAGACTTCCTTTCCTTCAGTAGCTCACATAATGACTCGGAAATACATGATTATTTACTACCAGTGTTGTTTTTGTTAACTAAAACTCAAACTAGTTTAAGGTATAAACTAGTAAAACTTAAATATTTATCAAATTAAATAAAATAAAGTTATAAAAAATATATATATTAGATGAAAAACGTCAATGAAAATTAAAAATGCTGCATTGGCATCTGCTAAAATGACTAAAACTGAAACTAAATAAATAAATGAATAAAATAAAAGCTAAATAAAATCATTTAAAAAAAATTTAAAACACTGTTGACTATATATATTCAGCCTAAACCATGCAGTTTTCCTCTTTAACAGCAGGCTGTGATCTGTGCTTTGGATCTTATACAGAACTAAATACAAATACACACAAAAAATAACATTCAGAAACCTACAACTGTCTAAAAAAAAGACTCTCTCAAATAGGGGAGATTGTGTTAAGATGCATCATTCAATCCATCAAACACACAGGTTTGATTTTGACATTGGTGGAGACAACAGCAGACAACATCCAACTACCCCAACATTCACATAACTCAGTGGTTACATATAATTATTATTCCCTACTAAATTCTATGCCCTTGGTGTCATGTGACCTTATATTTAGAAAGGGCCCATCATATACAGCTGCCTGGGATTGGGGAAAATGCTGTGAATGTTTTTGATTTTTTTTATTTTTTATTGCATGTCAGAATAAATTCTCTGCATGGCAGTAAAAAAATATATATATATATATATATATTTGGGGTAAAATTTTAATATATTTATATATACCAAAATATTTAAAAAGTCACTATTCAAACATGTTTTGCAAAACAAAACAAAAAAATCCTGGCTATTTTATGAATTATGCACAACTTATGTCATTAATGTTATAGACACTTTACTTTCAGTTCAAATTAGACCAAAATATAGACTAAACGTATCACAAATAGGCTAAACATATGTGACCCTGGAGCACAAAAGCAGTCTTTAGTCGCTGGGGTATATTTGTAGAAATAGCCGGGTCTCTTTCCAAGGTGGAGCTTCACACCATGACAACCAGAGTCCCAGGACACACACGTGACAACCAGCACAAAACAGCTAGAGGACTGCAGCATCAGGATTTTAAATCATCAAAAAAAAACAAAAAAAAATAAAAGGGTAAAAAGTAAAGCTGTGTAAATAACCTATACACACACACACACACACATATATATTTGCAGATTTTAAATTTGCATATTTATAAATTTAATTTTTTTTAATTGAAATGTTACATTTAAAGGGGGGAAAAACTAACATTTAATTAAAAAATATATATATATATATTTTTTTTTATATTTAAAATCAATCAGTCAATCAATGGGAATGTCCAACTAGGCAGATACATAGCTTATTTATTCAGCTTTCAGATGTTGTATACATCTCAATTTTGAAAAATTTACCCTTATGACTGGTTTTGTGGTCCAGGGTCACATATTATTTCTCTTGATATGAAATTTACATTAAGACAAGAAACAATCAGTTCTACACCTGGATCACATGCAGACCAAAGCATGTTCTTAATATTACGTATAATCAAACTGGTGCATTGAGAATCACTGTGAATCAGAGCTCATGGATGCAGTACTTCAGCGGCAGGTTTATATGCTTGAAAGCATTTCTCATGTTGACATTCTGAACAATTCGATAATAAATGCATCACACTTCAGGGTTGAACACAAGACCCAGAGCTCAGGTACAGCAGGTGAACACAACAAACTAAAGACTTCAAATCATTCGGATTTAAACATTTTTTCCACATACCTGATCTGCGTTTCTAGGAAGTTTTCTCCTCCAGTGATTTGTCTTTCAGCTGCGCTGAGCATCACTTTGTTTGTGGAGGGTCTCTTTCCAAGGTGGAGCTTCACACCATGACAACCAGAGTCCCAGGACACACACGTGACAACCAGCACAAAACAGCTAGAGGACTGCAGCATCAGGATTTTAAATCATCAAAAAAAAACAAAAAAAAATAAAAGGGTAAAAAGTAAAGCTGTGTAAATAACCTATACACACACACACACACACATATATATTTGCAGATTTTAAATTTGCATATTTATAAATTTAATTTTTTTTAATTGAAATGTTACATTTAAAGGGGGGAAAAACTAACATTTAATTAAAAAATATATATATATATATTTTTTTTTATATTTAAAATCAATCAGTCAATCAATGGGAATGTCCAACTAGGCAGATACACTGTTAATCTGGGTCTCTTAATAGAAATAATGTCCATTTCACCCCAAAACCAAACCAAGTCTTTTCTTTTCTTAAGATCATAAAATGCATCATTACCAATTAAGTTTTTTTTTTTTGTACATCTCGGTTTCAATAATGATTTATATAACTGTAAATCAAACATTCACGTATTAAAACTCTAAAGCAAATGCCATGAGTGATCAAGTTTTTTTTTTTTTTTTAACAGGAAAATGATGCAAAAAATAAATAAATAAAATAAGCCAGATGTTTGCAACCCAGACAAGATTCACCTTTATACTGAAAAAGAAAACACAAGTCATATGAGGGGTCACATAACCATTTATACAGAAACAAGATCATCACGAGGCAAACGGTACAAAATGTGTGTACGGCTGCACAGCATGACCATCAAACAACATTCACACACACTGAAGACCTCAGAATCGTGTTTCTGACTGACAGAAAGCAAGAGGAGGAAATACTGAAAACATATACAACAAAGACAACCAAATGAGCCTTCAAGATCAGAGATATCACAAGGATTCTACATGAGGAATAGAGTTAAATTACATCATAATATACATTACTGACCAGAACTACTTCGAGTTCAAGCTACTGAACACACACAGAAGAAACCCCTGTGAGAGGCAAAGATAACAGGACTTCACAATGACTATAAGCCATAAAATGTCTGGCCTGCGGGTCACACGTTCACTTGTAAAAACATATCCGAGACGTCATTTGGAAAAATAAAAAGGGAGGATATTTTACAAATAGCCACAAAAATAATTCTGTACAACATAAAATAGTAAAAACTGTAAAATTGTTCTGAAAATGCTGCCTTGAAATCCTTCATAAGAAATCCCATGTGTGTCACATACAACTATAACCATCATTATTAAATGTTGTAGTTGGTGCTCAAAAAATAAGAGCATAGAATGTTACGAAAAATAAATAAAGAAATGTCCATGTCATATTTGGCATAAACAATTAAATCTGCGTTGAAGACTATTAAGATGAAATAGGACCTAGACATTTCTGTTCGGAAAATACACAGAGCTTTCCATTAATCAGTTATGGGTGATGATTTAATGGTTCAAAACGTCTTTTGAACACACAATGTACCTTTTTGTATTTACTTAAATAACGAGACTGAACACATCAGAATGGACCAACATTAACCCTTTGATGCTATAGTAGCCATTATACAGTTTGACCCTTACACGAGTCAAACCAGCTGTCCTCTTGATATGTCAATGTGTTTTTATTTATGACAACAAAGTATTGATGCACCAAGCAAACTAAATTACCATTTTGGGAGAAAAAATGATTTGGAATGATTTTCTTTTCTGTACCTATGTGAATTGATTCATGCATCAAAGGGTTAATACACATAACACATGTCACGTCACTTACACTTTTGTCGGAGAACAAGCACTGGCTGCTTCTTTAGCATCTTGGAGTTCAAATAACACTGACAGGTCAAAGCCATCATCAACACCTTTATGCAAAGCATGATATAAAAATCTCGTCAGATCACTAAAGCAGCAGAACCGTCAGTTACCAAATGATTAGACCGTTGTAACAGGTAACTGTAGTGTTGCATTGTTGTTCAACACTCACCTGGACCCACCAAACGCAGGTACATTATTACACTGTACTTAAAGCCACAGTTCACTCGAAAAAGGAAATGGTCATCAAAGCTGTTATTACAGCCGCATATCACAGCTGTTTTCACATGTAACGGGTTTAAAAGGGATGAACTAATACTTTAAAAACAGTTCTTTTAGTGCCCGAATGTACAGATACAAATGATTGTTCTCAACGGCAAAGCATGCTCATAAAAAGGTCTTGATTTAAATAGATCCTTCTCAGATGTTTGTAAACTCTAACGAAGGTTGTGCCGTAGTTTCTTCTCATACCGCACTTGATTGGAAGTGTTCAATCTGGCCGTTCTGCAAATGAGTGTCTTGGTTTTCCTCAAGCAAAGGGGAAAATGAACTGGGGTCGCCTGCTGAGCGCGGTAACGTGTCGAGAGGGGTCAGGTCTGTGTCTGTGGTGGCACACGGCATGTATCCCGCCTCAGCGTCTGCCGGAGACTGGCCGAGCCGTTCCAGGAGGAGGTAATGTATGAATCCAATAGGAACGGGAAGAAATGCGACAACGATGAGCGTGCTCAGGACAGCAAGAGCCCAGCCTGGATAAGGTAGATCTTCCTTAGACGCCTGGGAGAAAATGTTGGAAATATGTATATTAATAATGTTAACTAACCCTGAAAAAAAAAAAAGAAAAGAAAAAAAAAAAAAAGGAACCAATCATTGAACATTGGAAAAAAATGTTTTTTTTTTAGTTCCATATTTGTTACAGTCTTTTATGATTACCATAGTATGATGAATATAGAATATGGAGGAAAAACAGCTCAAAAATATGCAATTTGGTGCACTTGCTGATATTTTTATGGCCAAAAATTATGAAGAAATTCTGATAGCTTGTAATGTAAATGAATGAGATCTTTATAACAGACTATTTATAACAGACCACAGACTACATAACATTCTATAAATGTCAGTCATTACTCTGCCAATAATATATCTTAGTAAGATGAGATTGAAATGATCCAAACATATAATGCAATGCAATCCAGTGATGATTGAGAGATGAACAAATAAACGTTTCTCTAAAGATGTGAGATGTTCTGGAGGCTTGTGAAGATCATTCCTCCGCTGAGGAACAGTGAAAGTAAAGCTTCTGGAAACAAACATGAATTCCATAAAAGATCCTGATGGTCAGATTTGAGATTTATTTTTCTAAAAAAAACAATAATAATATTAATTCATGGAGAATCAAGTAAAGCCAAGCTGATTCAGTCCAGAAAGTGTTCAACTGGAAATAATAATAAAGTTATTCAGACGTTTACTTCATAAAATCATCAGATTTGACAGCAGAAAGACACGTGGAGCACCAGCTGAAGGTGGATATTTGTACAATTATAATAAAAGGCCTTTTACAGGCTCAGAAGTCAGATTTGAGACGCATTTATTTTTCTAAAAAAAACAATAATAATATTAATTCATGGAGAATCAAGTAAAGCCAAGCTGATTCAGTCCAGAAAGCGTTCAACTGGAAATAATAATAAAGTTATTCAGACGTTTACTTCATAAAATCATCAGATTTGACAGCAGAAAGACACGTGGAGCACCAGCTGAAGGTGGATATTTGTACAATTATAATAAAAGGCCTTTTACAGGCTCAGAAAAAATCTAAACTATCAATCAGACCACTGAAGGCTTTTAGGGGATTGTGCGCACAAGTAATCAGCGATGCTTTGATCATGTTGATCATTTAGAGGCCTCGGTGGAGAGCACAGAGTGATGATCATTTTAGCCAATCACAGTCATATCTGTTGAGCGCGTGAACACATTGGCCAGTGTCTAAACTATCAATCAGACCACTGAAGGCTTTTAGGGGATTGTGCGCAACAAGTAATCAGCGATGCTTTGATCATGTTGATCATTTAGAGGCCTCGGTGGAGAGCACAGAGTGATGATCATTTTAGCCAATCACAGTCATATCTGTTGAGCGCGTGAACACATTGGCCAGTCAGCGATGGTTAAGAATCGGCTCAACAGCGCTCAAATGTTTGTGGGAAATGGACATTTTTTACATTTCAGTACCGACTGATACCGAAGTCGGTACTTTTGACAACACTACATGATACAGTAGGCTTTAGAAGTTTAAAGTAAAGGTTTGTTTGTAAGAGCACACATGATTTGACCTTTTCTCTGTTCCAGGCGATGTATGTGGGACGCTCCAAGATCATCTTTAGCAGACTGGCACCCAAGAGCCCCACCATAGCAACCGGACACACGTACTTCCACATGTACTTGTACACCACAGGAACCGGCCGATCCAACATCAGCTTCAGGTCCTCCAAAAACCTGCATTGAAAATACATCACGTTTACGCACTTCAAACCACAAATAAAGACATTTCTGCTTGAACTCGGAGGGTTTGTGATACCTGTCCGCTCCATAAACCCAGGCCACGCTGAAGGTCTGGAAGATGACGACGATGATGAGGGGAAGTGTGGCAGAATAGTCATCAAACATAGCCACAAAATAGTTTCCACAGCGCTGAGTGAACATGAGACCGATCAGAAAGCCCACCGCACAGCTGCACGCTGGGAGAGATGGGAAAAAATACAAAATAATCAGACAGACATGCAAAACAACAATACTGATTAAAACCACAAGATGTTAAAATAAACACAAATATAAAAAAAAAACAACAGGGTTACCTGTAAAGAGGAATTTGTGGTTACGCAGGGTCTTAAAGGTGTCCGTCAGCGGGGTCAGTATTCCTGCCATGGTGCCGAACATGGTAGACAAACCCAAATTGAGCAGCATGAGAAAGAACAGCGCCGACCAGAACGGACTCCCAGGAAACAAGGTCATGGCTTCAGTGAACGCTATGAACGCTAGACCGGTTCCCTCCACACCCTGAGAGAGAAAGAAGATCGCAAACTTTAACTTAAACATTCATCGGAGTCACTCCTAACCAAAGAAATACTGCCGAACTGAGCTGAACCAGAGATTTATTCATTGCCATGACTTTTCTTAGACATAGCAACATTCCAATAACATTCCAATGATGCCCTAGCAACCACCCAAAACATTCCAATAACCTAGCAACCACCCAAAACATTCCAATAACCTAACAACCACCCAAAACATTCTAATTATACCCTAGTACCACCCAAAACATTCAAATAACCTAGCAACCACTTAAAACAAAGCAATACCCCAGCAACCACCCAAAGCAGAGTTTGAGAGCCGCATCTATCAGCTGATCCGTCTATGTGCAAATATATTTGGGATCCGCTGATGGATCAGCTGATAGACGCGGCTCTCAATTTCAGTACTGAATGATATCGCGGTCGGTACTTTTGACAACACTAATAACAACCACCCAAAACATTCCAATACCCTAGCAACCACCCAAAATATTTCAGCAATACCCTAGCAACCACCTAAAAAAAATCCAAGCAATGCAGCTAATTGCATAAAAAAAATTTGCAACACTCATGTTTTGTTCAGAAAAGATAAAACATGTAGTTGTGTTCTGTACTTGTTTCAGCTCCTCCTCCAGGCTGCAGGCGGTGATGTTGTAACCGGAGATATTCAGCTGCTGGCCCCGAGTCCTGTACCAGTGCTCATACTCGTTCAATGTCATGTTCTCCACATCTGACGCATTGATGAGGAGGTCAGGGAAAGGAGTGCTGGACATCGCTTCAAACGTGGCCTTCATGTTACTGCAACATACACAAACAAACAGCTAAACATCTTAAAGCTTCAGTAAAATATACTATAATTCGTTTTTTTTAGCTGCATACTGACCGTTTAACACACTCTGTGGCGATGGTTTTGGCTCTGAAGCCCAGCACGGCAAACACCACTAGCGTGGCCAGAACGGACGTCATTAAGTTGACTCCAGACACGGTGAACGCGTCTCGATAGCAGTTGTTGTTCCGCGGGTTGTAGGAAGAGTACGCGATCACAGAACCGAAACCCAAACCCAGAGCGAAGAACACCTGAGTCGCCGCCTGACGCCACACCTGAACATCAGCCCAGATCTCCAGCTGAGAGAATCAACCACAACAAACATTTACTTTAAACTCACTAACATACTACACTAAACATGTCACATGATAATACATTAAGAACAAGAAGAAATAGTTCATTTTAAGCAGTGTTGTTATTGTTAACAAACTATTAAAAATGTCAGGGTTTTTTTTACCGAATTAAAATAATATATATATATATATATACGGGAAGTCGTGGCCTAATGGTTAGAGAGTCGGACTCATAACCCAAAAGATTGTGGGTTCGAGTCTCGTACCGGCAGGGATTGTAGGTGGGGGGAGTGAATGTACAGCGCTCTCTCCCACCTTCAATACCACGACTGAGGTGCCCTTGCGCAAGGCACCGAACCCCCAACTGCTCCCCGGGCGCCGCAGCATAAATGGCTGCCCACTGCTCCGGGTGTGTGTTCACGGTTTGTGTGTGTTCACTGCTGTGTGTGTGCACTTTGGATGGGTAAATGCAGAGCACTAATTCCGAGTATGGGTCACCATACTTGGCCACATGTCACTTCACTTATATATCAGATTAAAAAAGGCTTGTCAACTAATATAAATGTTTTTCTTGAAATACTAAAACTGGAATAAAAAAAATAAAAGCTAAATAGAAATATAAAAAAAACTAATAAAAAGTATGAAAGCACAAATACTAAAATTTAAAACATTAAAAAAAAACATATTACTACATAAATAATACTAAACAACACTGATTTTTAGGTAAATAACACGACACATAGAGAAGACACCATTTTGGTGATTGTTTTTATGGACTATAGTAATCTTCAATATATAAATCTCCAACTCAAACACAGTTTAGTGTTTGTTTACGTACCCTGGGGTAAAACATGAATTTAATACCCTCGGACGCCCCGTCCAGTGTCACGCCTCTGATCAGGAAACACAGCAGCACCACGTACGGAAACACGGAGGAGAAATACATCACCTACACACAACCAATACTGATTACTATCATCAATAATCACATTACAACACAAAATAAACATCATATATATATATATATATATATTCACATTCATGACACAAACTCCAAGTACCTTTCCGGTCGATTTGATGCCCTTATACATGGCCAGACAGACGATGACCCAAGCGGCCAGCAGACATCCAGTGATGATGGGGTTGAACTCTCCGGTTTCTTCAATGGAATCAGTGATATCCAGAGCTTTACGGTACCAGAAATACGCTGTGGGAGAGCTGGCGGCACATTCCTTCACTAGGAGCAAAAACAAGAAATGCATCTCCATATGAAGAACTGATGCCAGAAATGTGACATTTTTATATCTAATCTCACAAATGAAAATGACTAATTTTATATTGCATTACACAAACTCCTAATCCTTACCGGTGCTGTTCCCTTCTGTCGGACAGTTTTCCCATGGTAGAGGATACTGGAAAGAACTTCCCAAGTAAAAAATACTCCAACCAATGATGACGTTATAATACAGAGCTACAAAGAAACACACCTGGGAAATTAAAAGAGAAAGGAAAACAATGTATTAAAGAATAAAGTAACATTGTGAAAATCAAGTTTTGACATCGTTTATACAGTACGTCTATCTGGTGTTTTTAATATATGCTTAAAGACAAACCATGTGCAAATTCATCAGTCATTTACAGATGACCATTGCGGAGCATTTTCTCTTTAAAACCAAGTGTACCAAAGACTCAAAAATTAGATTTGAAACAGCTCCCATTTTCTACGATAAGTTAAGTGTCTGACGTTGCAGAGAGCGATGCATAAAATGCATTACCACAGGATTCTTGCACATTTTTAAAAGTCTAATTTAAGGCTTTTAAGACCTGGAAAAAATAAAACATTAATGCTGAGAAAAAAAAAACTAAATTTTCAAGGATTTTGTTGATAATTAGACAATACTTTGTTTTTGAATTAGGGCTGAACGATTAATTGCATTTGCGATAATATCGCGATATGAAAAAACGCGATTTTTCCAATCACAGAGGCTGCGATTACACTCGGTCACGTGACACGCGAGAGTAAAGAGGTATGTTCGACTTGAAGATCGATCGGTGTATGACATCAAAGTACGGCGAGAGAAAGCATAAGGAGACGTCCGCTCTCGCAGTACTTTGATAACATACCGATCGGTCTAAGCAGCGCTGTTTCAAGTCGAACACATCTAAGCAGTCTTTCACAGGGCTCCAGACTGCGACCAAATGGTGTGACTAAATTTTGTGAGCATTCGCACTAGCGCGACCACCGCGTTGTTTAACTCATAAGCGCTGCCATCTCTGTT